CGTCCAAATGAACAAGGTGTCAGCTTCGCCCATGGAAAGCTAAAACCTAGGATGATTGGCCGATTGTCATGAGCACTAAGTCATGCGTGCCACTATCGGAATTGCCATTGATTTGAAGCGCCTAATGTGCACATAAGCTCACAGAGTGAGAATTATCCATCCATAGTTGCGGATGAGACCTTAACAAAATATCCATTTTCTGGTGGTTCACTCTCGAAGCTCTTGATACACGAAATAAAGTAAAAGAATATAGGAGTGGAGATTCTTCGGCACCATAGCTATGTGACTGTTTAACCATCCCGTCACTTTTCGGTGTGCCTAAAGAAACCACAAAATGGACGAGTGGATATCCACGTAGCAAATGTATTTGCACTCATCCTTGGAAACACTCCGTACCAGTTTCACATCATTCCGAACTAAAGTTTTAAAATGATCGGACATGAAATTGCTGGGGACGTGTCGTGTCGTGGCAGTGTTGAATCCTTTTGAGAAGGTCTAGATTTTACTAAAACCGGTTTACAGAATTAATTTATTAAGTGATGATCTGTCTTTCATTGGCTGTTGGATACGAGCCGTTTGTTGTAGTGCTTGCTTACAGACTAGAACATCGCTTAACAGGTCGGTTTCGTAAACCGATTTCGATAAACTTATCATCGCTCCATCCCTTGGCGTCTTGGCAAATTAAAAAGTTGGGTAGTTTGAGTGGTACATGGTAACTTTATGGGGCACTTTAGGGGGCCCCTCTTGCTCTGAGATCCTGCAAAATACCGTGTTCCTTTGGCTTTTTGGCTCCTAGATTCAGGGTCGAATAATGGAGCCTTTTGGCTGCGCGTGGGGAATGTCCAAAATGAATTGTCAGGAAGTGATTTATCACTAAATCACAATATCATATCTTAGTCTCTCTCGGATATCACGTGGTCCTAGCGATTCTTAGAATAGATCGAAAGAGTTGTTACTGTTGTTTTCACTGCACAAGTTAGCATATCACATGTATGACCCGGATGATATAGCACGTTCTCTATTGATGAATTGCGTTAGTAATGCGAGGATGAAATTACTTTTACTAAACATCATCTTGTTTGTCCTTTACGTAGCCAGCTGTAGACAGTGATAGTGGCACTGGCATCTTCTACGGCTACAAGACCAAACTTTGTGAAAAAGTAAAAAAGAAAGATAGCAGAAGATCTGAGAAGGGAAAGAGAAATCGGGCTAGAACAGTGAACACCAGATTTAGAAAGGTCCCGCACTATGTAGGGGAAAAGAGAGTCCCAGCAAAAATGACAAGAGTAGTCATTTCGCAGGACATAAGCTTTTTAGATTCCCATGAAAAAAAAATATAGGGAAAGCTTCTTAGGTCTGATTAAATCAACAATCTTCGAGCTGCGTGTCACATAAGTTTTAAAACGAAAAATTCATTTTTACTAGCTATGGCTCGATAGGTTTGTTTTGAAAGTTTTGAGTTTTGTTTGTTAACAACACATGAGAAACTACCAAGCAAATGCTAAATTTTTTTGTTTTGATTTGAAATATCAACCACATACATATGGTTATCGGGCACAAGTGCGAGGGGTCTATGCGTTCACAATCATTATCTAACTTTTTAAATTTGAATATAGCCAGTGCACATATATATTGCTTATTGATTAAATTGGTTGATGCATGATCGGGTCTTGAAGATTTTGTTGAAGCTTCCACCACGATTTGGACCTACACCAACGAATAAGGGTTTGGGCGTTTGTGTGTTTGACCCGGATTGGCTCTTCAATGCTTAAGTTAGCAAGAGGAATGTGTATGTGTGAGAATATGGAAAGATTGGGGAAGAAACTTACCCGAACTGTTAGAATCTTAATTTATAGATGGAAGTGATCCATGCCTTTGGATGTTGATCGATGGGTCGTGATCATATCATGACCGATGGCAATGACCTTGAAATATGGTCAAATCTCCTTACTGGCCAATGGTGTTGAACGCCTACCCAAGGTACATATCTCTCTATAAATGCCATAGGGCATTAAAGTTACCCGTCGAGTATAGGGTAACACATGGCTTGCATTCATTAGTTGGCCAAATCCATCGCTATCGGTAAACCGTAGGAAAATCATATCGTTGGTTCTACAAACAATTTTATGTGGTGTCTGTGTGTTTAATTCTTCAATTTATCCTGTTGTGAACAAATCGAAGAAGAGCTTGAGACAACGGGCACTTACACTGACGCCTTCCATCTCATTCCGATGAAATTACTTGCATGGAATGCCTATATATATGAGCCTAATTCGGCATTCCATGCCATGCAAAGATATAAACGACATTGAAATTGAAAACATTTCGTTGAAGAGTTTTAGTCAGTTTAACATCTGAAGTTCAAGAGTTTTAAACATCACTAATGCATGAAGCAAACCGAAGTATACTGTTGCGATAGAGCAACATGATCAGAAGGAACTATACACGCGTGATACACTTTATTAGGTTATTCATCACGGGCTATGATTTTTTACGGGCTTTATAAATTTCATCATGACATCGGTGAAGGTTCGCGCGAGGATCAATGATTGACTTCATTGTTTAGCCTTTGAAAGACACGTGAGCTAATGCAGAAAAAGTGCTGTGCAGTGCAAAGCGCCCAAAAGAGAAAAGACATGTCTGGAAATTGTGTTGGCGTTCAAAACATAACTCTTTCTGAAGTTGCTTTAGACTCGTGGAATGACGGTCTCTCTGTATGCTCGTGTGAGAAGTGAATGTTAACTGAATACTATATTGAAGCTCTAAATGACTTTAACATATACATACTTGACATTAGAGAGAGAGAGATGGTTGACGTGACGGTGGTGTCATGATTAAGTGCCAGTGAAGGTGGTGCATGGTGGCCGTGGAAGCCTAGACAGGGGCCTCCATGACTTGTCCGTTTGTGTTGCAGTGATGCGGGTTACATGAATGCGTTCCTTATTTTAACGTGCCAATGCCTGCACGCTTTAACCTCAAATTCCTCTCAAATCTTTTTCTTCCCTGGAAGGAGGGAATACACTCTTGTTATTTTACATCCCGTAGATCTCAAGGTTCGGACGAGACCGAGGATGAAGTAGTTTAAGCATATGCTTAGGTCTTAAGAGTCATGTAGCTTGGAGGATGATCAAAGAGGAGGAAGGGAGAGAGAGATGGGAGGAGGGTGGGGCTCGATACTTAGGTAAGATTAGGATTTTTTTCTTGTGTGCGCGCTTTTACATGTTTGAATTTACATATAAGTTATGTCCATATATAAATGAACTGTGTTAATGAAAAAACGAATTTTATTGATATGCGGACGGCGCAGGAAATCCATAGATTCTCAATCCAATAGCATACAGAAAGTCGAAAAATTTCATCTGGACACAACTTTGCTTCATCGTTGTGTATACCCTATAGACAGCATAGTCTAGTGACGATATTGTTCAACTTGGAATCCGAAAGAAACAAAAGAAATAGGAACAAGTGCACTACAAGTCCTAAAACTTGTCACAAAAGTGCATTTGAGTCCTAAAACTTGTAAAATGTGCAATTGAGTCCTAAAACTTGTCAAATTGATTCAATCGAGTCCTAAACTTAACACCGTCTAATTTACTAACGGAAAATGCTGACCTGTCTTATTTTATTAATTTTCTCAAGACACATCGCCTCCAACAAGCGCCACGTCAGAAAAATTGAAAAAGCTATAAAAAAAACCAAGGACCAGCAGCTGCGGCGGTGGCCAAGCCCTCGCCGGTGGCTGCCGCCACAGCCGCCGGGAAGGACTAGCGGAGGTCGCCTGGGCCTTCCTGAAGCCCGGCGACCCTCGCTGGCCCCGAGCAAGTCCCCGACGAGGGCCTGCAGCCCCCGATAGGGGTGAGCGGTTCCAGGTTTCGGGTAGGTTCCGCCTAGAACCTGGAACCTACCATCGGGTACATGTTCCTCAAAATGAGGAACTTGGAACCTACCCGTCGGAACCTGGAATCTGGAATCTGGAACCTACCCTGTCACAGGTTCCAGGGTCGGTTCCATGTTCCAACAGGTTCTTTTTTTTAATTTCATTTTGAATTAAACAAAACGAAAATAAACGCAATATTAGATCATCTGAATGATACATACACAATGCCCTGATGTGATATTCAAGGGATATAATGCCAAGACTACAAAATCCACATTGGACAGTCTCTGTCTCTCTTACATGCAAGAACACAGAAGTGCCCGCACATGCACAAGCACAAGCACAAGCACATGTAAGGACGTCATTGCACAATCTTACAGCACTTCCTGTGTAGGTCCTGTTACTTATTTTCATAAATCCAGGCCGAAACTACCCAAAAATGAACAAAAGGATTATATCTTTCAATCCAGCAGCTCACTGTTTTAGCTCAGCACTGCACATATATTCTTCTTCAAGTGTTCAAACAGAAAAACGATTTGACAATAGGCACATGTTTGCACACATATTCTTCACAGTACTATGTACAGCCAAGAACTAGATGTATGAAAGGAGTTTCTCGATGTGGCATAAGTTTCTTTTATCGCTGCATGAGTACCAAAACATATAAGATCTTTTCAGTCTTGGCTGATCAATTAGTAAAATGTGAAACACGGACATGGTATAAACTGTAAGAGCAGGACACTCTAATTTTAAAATGGCAAAAAGATTATGTTTGATATTTAAAACTTCAAAAAGATCAAACTGGAAAGACAATAGAAGTATGGACATGAGCCTTTGATCAAATAAGATTTAAAGAATTACAGGGTAGGAATTAAGCGAACATTGTCATAAATCATTCAGTCCAGAGAATTTTATCTAAAATAAGTTTCTACACCGTTTCCTCAACAACAACACAAAAATTAATTATTAAGACAATTGTATCACTCCAGTTGCATGTTCTTAAACACAAATATGAATAAATGATAGGGATATATGATCTTTGGAATCACAACGCCATAACACCGCTCAGTGATAAAGAAAACGAAGACAGGTCTATCTTGCATCTACCTTACCTGGTGAGGTATTTTGGATCATATGTCCCACAAACAACATCATAGTGTCCATCATAAGATTCTACCAACTCCAGATCACTAGTGAATGGGTCCCACCTGCGGATATAATAGATGAGCTGAGCCATATATAAGGCAATGGCACTATACAGAAAAATTATGAAGCTTACTCATATCTCCGCTGGCGCTCAAGGTTTAAAAGCACTTCAAATACAGTGTCTGCACAGGCATCAACAACACCAACAGACTTCAAAAGCCAAATAAGGAACAAGACAAGGCAAAAGTTCTAAAGACTCAAACAAAAGAAGCCAATGCCGCATAGGCTCTTAATTATACAGTTGTTCCACTGGAAGAAATCAATGGCTAATTTCCACTGATCTCAATAGTCTTGACACCTCCAGTACCACCAGGAGTAGCTCAATCCAGTACCCACACCAAGATTTGATTGCTTACCTAATCCGAACTACAACCGAACAACATTGAAAAGGAAAAATCACGTTTCGAAAAGGACACAATCCCGAGCCAATTGTGCTCATACAATTTGTGAACTGCCAATTGAAACCAACATATAATTGCCTCCGCATTCTTGAGTTTCCATTCACTCACATCTCAAGCAAAAATTCTTGCAAACCCACTTCACTTCGGAGTTGCAACTCTCAATTAAGGACTAGGAAGTTTTGAGCTTTAACTGACCTCTTAAACTAGCTAGAATCACCAAGAACAGCAAGCCCAAAACTCCCAGAAGCAAATCTCAAATCAAAACAAACGAGACCCACAAAACCATAGACAAGCACCAAAATCGGTTCGGCAACGAAAAGATCTACATTCCGTACCTCGACTTAAATCAGTGACACCCAACACTTAAAAACACTTGGGTCACCTCAAGAATCAGCAAGAAGATGGGTAAAATCCGAAACAGAACAGCCCTTGGAGCAAGAGAAAAGGCAAGTCTCCTGCTCCCGGAGCTTCGGATATTTCTTCTACGGTCTTGCGGAAGCTTGTTCCAATGGCTCGAAACCAAGACGGAGAGGCCACTGAGAGCGAAAGTGCTTCCTCTTGAATCTATAGGCGAGAAAGCATGGTTCTTGAAAGCGGGGTCGAAGCTGGAGAGTATGGAAGCGGGAGCGAGGGCGAGGCGGAAGCGGAAGCGAAAGCGGGAGCGAGGAGCGAGGCAGAAGCGAAAGCGGGAGCGAGGAGCGAGGCAGAAGCGGAAGTGGGAGGGAGCTTTGGAGGGACGATGATGGAGGATCGGGTGTGATTCAGGAGAAGAATGGAGCATTTGGGAATTAGGGTTTCTAAATACTAAGTTTATGTTTTTTGTTTCGGTTTTGGTTCCAGGTTTCGATTCCTAAAAATGTGGAACCGGGAACCGGACCCTCTGTCCATGGAACCTGGAACCGAACCGGATCCACCGGGTCCGGTTCTCCGGTTCTACCCTGGAACCGCGCTCACCCCTAGTCCCCGATCTGGGGGAGGGCGTGACCCTTGCCGCAGATCTGAGCAAGGGTTGCCAGCCCTCGCTTGGGGCCGGCGAGGACCGGCGAGGCCTCGCCTAGGATGGGTGACCCCAGGCGAGGGCCGGCGACCCTCGCTCAGATTTGGGGTGAGGGTCGCGCCCTCCCCTTGATCGGGGGCTTCATGCCGTCGCCGGGGACCGGTGGGGCCTCGCCCAGGGCCAGCGAAGGTCGCCGAGCTTCGGGAAGGCCCAGGCGACCTCCGCCGGCCCTTCCCGGCAGCTGTGGTGGTGGTTGGCAGCCACTGGCGAGGACTTGGCCACTGCCATAGCCGCTGGTTGGTTTTTTTTTTTATAGCTTTTTTCTAATTTAATTTTTATTTTTATTTTTATTTTTATTTTTATTTTTATTTTTATTTTTGCTGACGTAGCACTTGTTAAATGCCACATCATTGCCACGTGTCTTAAGAAAGTAATAAAATATTACACGTCAGCTTTTTCCGTTAGTAAATTTATCGGTGTTAAGTTCAGCACTCGATTGAATCAATTCGACAGGTTTTAGGATTCGATTGCATTTTTTGCAAGTTTTAGGATTCAAATGCACTTTTGTGACAAGTTTTAAGACTTATAGTGCACTTGTCCCAAATAAATATATGGTACAATATGAACATGACATGATAGCTATAGCCACCATCCAAGTTGACGGTCGATTTCCGACGGTGGTAGGGTTTCCAAAATGATTTCGAGCAGCAACTCGCTATTCAGGTGAACAGATGCTTGCACTCCCGAAATAGAACACGTGCTTTGATAGAACACGAGAGAAGGTGTTCGAACACAACGGAAACAATAAAGGAGAGGTTCAAATGGTAGCAAATGTCCTCCAAACATGCGCGAGCATGAAGTCAATCACCAAAGAAACTGGCGCAATGGATAGATCCAGACATTAGGTCAGCCCCCTAAGCTAGCACGTTTTTTTCTTTCCTACTTCGCTTTTTCCCTCTTCTCAAGCCTTCTTTAAGAGAGAAAAAGACCGTGTAGGAAATGGGAATCGATCTATACATCAAAGCCCACTAACTTTTATTAAAAGTTATAGGATTTAATTACTTCATTAACAAGTTCTGCGCATACCCTCTTTACACTAGTGTCGGGACTTCTAGTGTACTCATGTATGAACATCGATCGACTTGCCAATTTATCTTTTCTATCCGAGTCTAGTTATTCCTACTCAATTCCTCGATGGAAAACATGCGTAACAAAGTACTTCTCATTCTAAAAGTTATCATCTTTATTGAATGAGCTTTACAGATTCAAGCGAAGATCTCTTGTTTTGGTCGACACGTATGGCATATAAAAGAATCGACCCCTGTTATTATCCAAGGAAAAGGATAAGGTGGAGCTATTTTTTTGTGGGAACAGTTGATATTGTCCCGTGGAGCACTCGCGTTTGCATTCAAAGCACGTGTTGATTTTAAGAAGTTAGTCAAGTTAACAACCTTATAATGTCCTGTCATATTCGAAACCTCTCCATTCTTGTATCCATAATTTCTATCTCTGAGTTCATGCGGTACTAGTGGGACAAAGACGCCGATAGGATAAGAACCTTAGAAATCCGGATATGGCTTTACACCCCTTTAATTCAATCGACTCATAATGTCTATCTCTGAGTTCATGCGGTACTAGTGGAGTTCCAAAGCTAAGATTGTCATTACGTCAAAAGGCATCTCGATGAGTTAATTCCAGTTTTTCACGTATATATCTTACAATCACTCTCTCCTTCTGTTTAGTGTACAGTTCGGTTCATTCATGCTCCCTTAGCTATTCCAGAAGCCTGCCAGAAGCCGGTACTTGTCCAGGCCCTCTAGCTGCAACGATCACTCCCCCTCCCCCCTCGTCGGACCGGGTCGTTGCAAGTGTTATCGAGAGTTAACCAAAGCAAAATGTTATGGAAGAACTCCATATCTCTGAAAGTCCCATGTACAGAAATTGGAGTGGTAGGTTGGGTTGGGCTTGGATAAAACCTGGCCAAGATTTGGAAATTGAGAAGTCCAGGTATGACGGAAAAGCTAGCTGAATTGAAAGAGGTTGGGCTAAGCCCTTGGAATCAAAAAGTTTATCATAATGAGCTGGGCCTTAATGGTGGAAATAGAGAGGGGAAATGTTTGAGGATTGTTATTAGGGTTCATTTCATTGTCACTTGGCAGTGAACCAAATAAGAATCCAAGATTTAAAACATCTTGTACACTTAGCTCGTCCAAAACTAGTACGGGATGCACCCCACGTCGCGCGGATGCAAAACATGGACATTCGATATCTTCTGCGAAAGGGCCTTAATACGAAATATTTGAAATTATTAATTGATTGGAAATAAAAAATTTCGATACGATTTGATGAAAATATACACAAATGAATTATTCAAAGATTTGGATTTCTTTTAATGAGACTTTACAAGACCCGAGAGATATAATTATCAAAATTGTAGTACGTGAAAGATAAATTAATTTATTAACTTACACATTTGTCCATTGATATAATATTTATGGTATAACTAATTGAAGGTACTTTGGGAAAGAAGAAAAAGGATTTAAATCCCTTTCAGTTAGGAGGTTCTGTTGCTTTATATACTAAGTATAAATTAAAAAAACAACATAAAAAAGAAAATGTTGCCCCATGACAGGTACAGAAGGTGAAAGCTCTTCTTTTTCTTTTTGCCCTTATGAATACAATTCCCCAGTAAGACTGGAGGGTAGGAGGATTGCTAATTTATCACAACTGATTCTGAATTTTTGTGGGGTGTATGGATTGATATAAATGTGTCTACTTTGTATGCATCTATGCGGAGAACCCTTCCTAGATTGCTTCTTGCATACAATTTCTATTTATCCCAAAAGTCAAGGGATACTTGTCCAAAAAGTTGTAGACCTTTTGTATGGCAATCAATTCATTTTTGAATTTTCAATTGTGTCAATTTATTTCGAAACCTCTTGACAATTTGTCAATTTAGCCCTTCCAGCTGATTTTGAATGGAAATAGCTGACATGGCAGTCTATGGACAATTTTTACAATTTTTTTTAAAATTTTCTGAATTTTTTCCTTTTTTCGTTTTTTTTTCTTCCCTTTTTTTTTTCTCTTGGCCTGTGGCCGATCTTGGCAATGGTTGATGACCAGCTAGAGGCAACCGCCGACGAGGTCTCCCAGCTAAGACCTCACCCAGATCTGGCTAGAGTGTTGCTACCCTTATTGGCCATTGCCAGCCTTCCTCTGCGTCCAATCTCGTTGGGTCGTTGGCCATCACAAAGATCGGCCACAAGCCGGGAGAAAAAGAAAAAAAAACGAAGAAAGAAGAAAAAATTCAGAAAATAAAAATAAAATTACAAAATTGTCCGTGCCAGTGTCAGCCGTGCCACTAAGAATGGCCGGTGCCAGAAAAATTAAATTGACAAATCATCAAAAGGTTGATATGAGTAATTAATTACTTGTTAAAAGTATAACTACTCCTATCAACACAATGGTTGTGAGATGTTAGAAAAAAGTTAACGCACATTGCGTATCTAATATCAACCAAATCAGTAATAGACACTTTATGTCATGACACCCATTGAAGGCAAATTATCCATGTTACTCGAGAAGATTTGCAAAAGCAATGTTCTCGTGACTTGCCTATTAGAAGTTACGTCACAAAAATCGAACCCCAAAATTAGTATAACATACAATCGTGCACAACAAGAATGTGCATTTGAAATAATTGCTCACAACCATCGCTCTCTCGCATTTAACCCGTCAAGCTCACATCTAAAACCCCTTTT